GCTAATTTTAGCTTTTAGCTTTAGTTTTGCTACAGTTAGCTTTTAGCAAATGTTTTGCTCATTTTTGCTCTTTTAGGTTTAAGGTATTGTGAGCTAATTTTAGCTTTTAGTAACAGTTTTGCTCATTTTAGCTTATAGCCACTGTTAGGCTAAAGCTAACTTTTAGTTACTTTTATCCTTTGTGAAATTTGTTCACCAACAAGTCTCCAACAGTCACATTTTAGTAAGATACTAGCTAAAATTTTCACCTGGGGAGTGCATCGTCAGCGCATTAATTTGCAAGGGGCTGTCGAAAAGTTTTAAGAAGTTAGCTAAAATTAAACTTTACCGAGATAAACAGACGTGTGTGGGTTCAAGCTGTCAGAGCTAAGGATCTTATAGCAAGACTTGCCGTTTGAAAAATAAACATTTTAAATTTCCTAACATTGTTGGGAACGGAGTTCGTTGTAATGTTTGGTACTTAGAAGGTGCTAGAAAGAGTTTTGACGATGTTAGTCAGAGTTGCTGCTCTTTGTATTTTTATTTGTTCTTCCACAAATGAAGCTGAACCACAGCCGAACGGTTATATTTTCACAGAAACTCCCACCTTCTTGTCAAAGAAGCAGATTTAGTCCCGTTAGCTTAGCACCACCCATAGGTGGGTCCCGTCTTTAGGGTGGCGGACTAAAACATCAGAAACGAACAAACTACTAATTGCAAACTGTAATTAAAAAGACATCGTTCCTCTGCTGACTCAACCCCCACCGAGGAAAATCTACAGGCAGTTGGGATGATTTTTTTTTAAATAAACTTTGCTGGAACATGCTTCTTCTAGCCCTCCCAGTTAGCTAAGTGTTTCATCTGGTGGAGCTGAACTCCTTCTGCCTTGTTTTATTTGAGGTGTTGGGTTGATTTGGAGCCACACACCCGCTCCGTTCCATGATATCATCCTGGCCACCTCAACAACTGGCCTCGGACATTTTTCCCGGTAAACCGAACTCACATCACAGAACGCCACAAAGCCGTGCCTCGAAAGCCTCCCCTTCATCTTTCATTAGTCTCTGCTCATTGCTGAGTTTTCTCTCGTTTTTTCTTCTTTTCTTTTACTTTGCTGAAAATTCAAGCGGAGAATATGTTTTCCATTTTGCCTGCTGTAAGGACTTTTTGGAAACAATACAGGGTGAGCTCGCTGCCACTAGATCACATGTGATTTTGTTTAAAGGCATGAGCAGTTCAGTCACGTCGCAGTGCCAAAGCACACTTTGATCCAGGTGATTTCCTCCGTTTCTCCTTAAAGAAACACTTTTATGTTTTCCATCTCAATGTGATATGTGCATAAAAGCATAAAATAATTACAGGCCTAGCATTCTTTGAAGGAATGCGTATTTCCCACCCCCTTTCATGCCAGAGCTTTAGAATACAATCATCTTATGGGAAATGATGGAATTGTAGCTTAATATCATGCAATATTGCAGGAGTACTTATTGGGATTGACTGGGGGAGTGGTGGTGCAGAGGTTAGAGAAGGTGGACCTGTCATGGGAAAGTCGCTGGTTCAACTCCGCGTACCAACATCAAAATGTGGGTGGGAGAGGTGAAGCACTCACACCTGCCTCCACCCTCATTTCAAGTTCAAGTAGGTTTTATTGTCATTCACATCTAGGCCTGTCGCGGTAAACAATAAATCAATTAATTGTATGATGAATGAAAATTATCAACCTCATTTTCATTTATCAGCTTTATCATTTCTTCGTGTCTCTCTCTTTCTACTGAAGACACGGCTCAACTCCGGTGCTCTTCACTGACCCCTCCCTTTTTCCTTTCTCTTTAAAATCTGTTTTAACTGTCCAAAATCGCTTTTTTTTTTTTTTTGGACAGTTAAAAGAAGCTAAGCTACGAGCTAAGCTAACAGACCAACCTCGGGAATAAACATCCGTCTTGTCGAGCTCCAAAATTCACGGTTGAAACCCGTGCCTTCGTGTAAAAGTTGTTTTTATCTGCTAAAAGAAGCTGACAACTTGTTTACTGATTTTTTTTAATTACAAGCTTTTTGTGCAAAATGCTATGCTAAAGAGCTCAAATCACCGTGCGTCCGCCATGTCACCATATCAGCCCATGTCACGTCAAGAGCCCTCCCTCCCATTTTTCTTAGAGAGACACGCTGCTCAACTATCCAACCTTTGGTTCAAACAGCCTTATACTGACATCAGGTGGTCAAATAAAGGTACTACACTCCAAACAAATCAACATTTCTTCCAAAATTTGACAATTAATTATTGTAAAATTTCAAACAATATTATCGTTTATCGCAATAATTTCTGAGACAATTAATTGCCAGCAAAATGTGTTATTGTGACAGGCCTATGTGCATCACATGTGGTACATGAGGTGGAACAAAATTGTGTACGCCGTGTTTTCCCCACTCTGGGTCCTTGAGCAAGGCCCTCAACCCCCACCATTTACTCCCCCGGGTGCTGCTCTCTGCTCCACACAGAGGGCTGTGGTAGCCCAATCATGCGAAAAAATACAGCATAATAACAGCAGCCCGAACATGAGTCTGTGGGTACGAATACTAGTTTAGGCCATAAATACAATTTAATCTCTCAGGTTCAAGCTGATTGTGCTGAGCCGAATCCAGGTCAATCATCCGTCCATCTGTGGAACATTCAGCCACTCTCAATTAACTTTGTGGTCTTCACAGCATCACCTAATGAGAATACCGTAAATTCTGCCATCACTGGAATCAAAAGTGATCCATTGGCACCGGTGACATTTCAGCGCCATTTTTGACATCCAAATATCTACTACCTTGACCTTTCACAAATTGGCTGGTGGAGTCATCACGGCCGAACAAATCGCTCTTTAAACCTCACCTTGGCTTGGCGTGTAAAAGTCTCATTAACGATGAGGGGGTGTGGGGCTGACGAGACGTCACTTGGGTTTTCGGTTCCAAACAGCCCGCGGAGTCTCTCCAGGTTGTTTGTGTGCGTGGTTTTTGGCCTAATGAAGGCTGCCATTTCCTTTCAGCTAAGGTTTTTTGTGTGTGTGTGTGTGTTTTATTTCCGAGGCAGCTATCTCCACGCTGCAGCTTAAGAATTTCCCTGAAGAGAAGGGACTGGGAAATAATTTCACATTGTGTGGCCTCAGCACTTTGGCTGGCTTAAGACGCGTTCTGCTCAGCTATGGCAGAGTCTCCTTTTCTGCTTCGGCTTGTGGTTTGGCCTCGGTAATCTGTTCTACACAGAACCAACAAAAGCCATAGCCTCTTGATTGACCTTTCATGTGTAAGCTGATACAATGAAACGTGGCTCTGCTGTTGATTAAGACATGATTGTGTATATCTGTATGTATATGTGAACAGAGGAGGGGGTGTTCTTTTATTTTACAGTCCTGAACTGTAAATCAGATTTTCTGTCAGACGTAAATTAGGTCAGTGAAGTTTTTCTAAAACATTTGCTCCTTAGAAGCTCATAGTAGCACATCTATCTCTGATTTTTGGCCAGATTAAGTTACATTTCTTGTTTTAGCAGGCATGGAATGACAAGCGAGCCTGGTAATGTAGATATATTCCCCCCAAAGCACTGCTGTAATGTTTCAGGGTGGCTATCCTCATCGCATTTCCACCACTATGTTCCCAATATTCTCCTGTAAGACATTTCTCGCGGGTGGGGGAGTGAATCTAATTTATCCGATTTATCCGTCTGCCTCCTTCACCGTCCCTCTTCTTCTTCTCTCTCTGCAGTCAAGAGCATGGATTGCACTTCAGAGTTGGAGGACTTCTTTGCCAAGCGGAAGCTGGACAGCGGCGACAGCCACGTGGTGAGCATCGCCGAGTACCTGCAGCGCGGCGACACTGCTATTATTTACCCAGAAGCCCCGGAGGAGCTGAGCCGCCTGGGCACACCGGAGGCCACAGGACCCGAGGAGAACGGTACGCAACCCTGTTAATGAATTGTTTGTTCCTGCTTTGATCTATCATCTGGACATACTTATTTGCCTACTCTGATGAGAATTGTGATGGTTTAGTGTGTAGCTTTAACTTCCTTTGGGTTTTTGATTGGTTTTGTAGTTATCAAGATTTTTTGAAATGTTAAGATAGAATCTCACTGGGCAACAACTGTTGGAGTTGGTTAACAAAACTGTGTGAAAGTACTCAAATATTCAAATTGACATAGAATGAGAAGTATGCACAGGCACCCAATAGTTTCTATAACTACAAGAAGAAAAAAGTTAGCTCAAAGTAACAAGTTTAGCAAAAGTTTTTAAAAAAAGTTAAGCTGAAATTAAAAGGAGGCTACCCAACAGTGGCTAAAAGTAAGCTAATATTAGCAAAACACTAACTGAAAACTAAAAAATGTCAAAGTTTAAAGGCTTAAAGTAAAAAAAGGGCTAGCTACAATGACAAAAAAGTTAGCTTAAAGTAAGAAACTTTTGGCAAAAGTAAAAAAGTTTTGCAAAAATTAATGAGACTAGCCAAAAGTAGCAAAATCTAGCTAAATGTAGCAAAACACTAACTGAAAATGAAAAATGTCTAAGACTAAAGGCTTAAAGTAAAAAGGGTTAGCTATAAAGACCATAAAGTTAGCCTAAATTAAGAAACATTTGGCAAAAGTAAAAAAAAATGTTTAGCTAAAATTAATCAGAGGCTAGCCAAAAGTTGCAAAAACTAGCTAAATGTAGCAAAAACACTAACTGAAAACTAAAAATGTCAAAGACTAAAGGCTTAAAGTAAAAAAGGACTAGCTACAAGGACCAAAAAGTAGGGTTAAAGTAAGAAACATTTGGCTGAAATAATAAAGTTTTGCTAAAATTAATAAGAGCCTAGCCAAAAGTAGCAAAAACTGGCTAAACGTTGCAAAACACTAACTGAAAATTAAAAAATCTAAAGGCTAGCTAAAAGCTAAAAGTAATACAAGGCTAGCTCATATCTAAAAGGAGCAAAATTTTAGCTAAAAGTAACAAAAGTTTAGCAAAAGTAAAAAAAATAAAGAAAAATAAAAAAAATAATAAGAGGCTAGCCAAAGGTATCAAAAGGCTTGTTCACATCTAAAGTATCAGAATAAAATAAAATAAAATTAAAATTAAAAAAAAGCCAGTTTGCTGAAGCAAATTTGAAAAAGAACAATGTTTTTGTTAGCATTGAAAAGATCTGAATATACCTCAAAGGGGAAAACATTTGTAAATCCTAGTTAACTTTTTAAAGCTGAATAAAAGTTATAAAACCATTGGTCATAGCACACATCTGAATGAGCTAAAAGATTTGTTGTAGGAGTGGCTAAGAAGCAGTTAGACTGAAAAAAAAAAATCTTACGGAAAATTAAAAGCAAAACAACAGTGTGAACACTATCGACGCTTCACTCATCAATAAAACCAGAGGTGCAACAAGGCTGGACAATAACAGGTGTCCTCTTTTGATTTCGCCATTGCGCTTCAATGTATTTCAACTAAAAGAATCACCCCCGAATCCCAAAATGAGACTTTTTGAGAGACAATCGTCAAAATGACACTTTATTTATTTTCCCACACGTAAGAAAACTAAACGTAAACAGTCACAAGATACTGTATATTTTTTAAAAAGCGGGCTCAGAAATGTCGACTACAAAGCGACCGTGCGGCCTCGTGTTGCGGCACAAATCTCGCAGTAACAGATTGTTTCAGTAAAACGCTGAGAGTGTGGACAGAACAGCGGCACGGCCCGCTGACACGACGGGGCAGCTGTTGCTCCCACAGATTCGCCGGATGCCTGGGTGTTTACCTACAGTCTCAAGCAACAGCTGGGCAGGCGCTTGAAATCAGATCGTGCACCTCTGAAGCTCAATTTGAACGGGTTTATGATTCATGCCGCAGACACGAAGATCTGCTGGGAGGGGTGCGGGAAGGGCCGCTTTCAGGCATCTAGAACAGGGGAAAAGTCAGGAACTCGGTGAATGTGTGCGTGGAAGTGCATTAGCACGTGCACGTTCCATGCTACGTGAAAGAAAGTGAGGATGAGGAGTCGGGAGGAGGTCGGATGCCTGCCGGACACCGAGGCGCTCATGTGGAGCAGATTGCACAGATAACTCCCATACCACTCTGGGCAGCCCGCCCGTTAGCTGCCATCGATTGGCTGACCTTTTGTCCCGCTTTCCTTTTCCTCCTCTTCCTCCCTCCTCCTCCTCCTCCTCCTGTACAGACCTGCCACCTGGAACGCCAGATGCCTTCGCCCAACTGTTGACCTGCCCCTACTGCGACCGGGGCTACAAGCGCTTGACATCACTGAAGGAGCACATCAAGTACCGCCATGAGAAGAACGAGGAGAACTTCGCCTGCCCCCTGTGCAACTACACGTTCGCCTACCGCACCCAGCTCGAGCGGCACATGGCCACGCACAAGCCAGCGCGGGATCAGGTGAGACGCCGTCTTCCCCGTCGCCTTTCCCTCCTCTCGCCGTTTCATTTCCTTCCTAATGTGCGCCGATCCCTCAGAGAAGAGAGATCATTTTTTCTGATTGGCAATCATTATTAATTTTTCATGGCATTTTGAAGATGCAGATCCTTTAATGGTAATAACTTTAATTGAGGCCCTAAATGGTTTTTTGATGGCCCTCCCTGATATGATTTTCCAGTCTCGTGTTCACGATCGAATGATTGTGTTAATTTCCAATTTGGAAATTTTTATCAGCTCCTTAACTTCACTCCACTCCTGGCCTTTAATGTTCTTCTGGTGCAGCCTGCGGTGGTGGCACTGGCACTCCATCAAAGCCCACCCCCCCCCCCCCTCCCTCACTTCTAATTTCATGCACTGCATAAACATCTGTGGATGCTCAAATTTTATATCACGCATGCCTGAAATATAATATGGATCTGCTGGAAGTTGGCATGAATCACCTTAAAGTCCTGCATTCAGCAGTTATGGGCGTTTAAGTTTTTTGCACATTTGGAGTAATTGGAAGTTTTCAGCAAGGGAGTTTGTGTGTGAATCTAATTTAGCTGCTATGCTGCGAAGCCCAGAATTAAGAAGTTAATAAAAACTGTTTTTTGTAACAGATATAACTAGAGAAATTACATTTCTTGCGAAAATGCAGTGTGAATGCTTATAGCAGAAGAACTTGCTGAAAAAACAGCTGAAATAAGCTAAAAACTTGCTAAAATGTAGCTGAAATGGAAGAACAAGTCTAAATTAGCAGAAGAAAGCAGAAAGAACACATATCTGCAGATTTAGATTTACGTAAGCAGAAATGAGCACAAAAAAGGAAATTAGCTAAAGAAGCTGAAATTAGCAAAAAAAAAAAAAACAGATGAAAAGGCAAAACGAAGCTTGAACTACCAGAAGTAAGTGGAAAGAACTGAAATGAGCTAAAAAAAAGAAAAAGAAAGTGGAATTAGCTGAAAAGCTAAAATTAGCATCAAAAGAGCTAAATAGTAGCCAAAAGAGTAAAAGAAGCTGAAAGGAGCATAACAAGCTGAAATTGGCATAAAGAAGTTAATTAGGTTGAAAAAAGCAGAAATTTACAAGAAAAACTTGGACTTTTTTGAAAACGATTGAAATTAGCTTATACATGCTAAAAAGTTAACTGAAAAGGTAGAACAAGCTTAAATTAGATGAAGAAAGCAAAAAGAACATGTTTGCCCATTTAGGCTGAAAGAAGCCAAAATGAGCAGTGGAAACAGTAGAAATTATCTGAAAAAAGCTGAAATAAGTTTAAGAAACAACTGAAAAGTAGCTAAAAAAGCAGAAAGAAACTTAAATTACCAGAAGGAAGTGGAGCGAGCATATTTTTGCTGAATTAGGCTGAAAAAAGTTTAAATGATAGCAAAAATGTGGAATTAGCTGAAAAGGCTTAAAAACAGCTCAATAGTAGCTGAAATAGCAGAAAAAGCTGAAGCGTAGAAATAAGCTGAAAGGAACATAACAAGCTGAAATGAGCAGAACCAAGTTAGAATAATCACAAAAATGTTGTGGTTAGCAGAACGAATCTGAAATGAACACACAACAGCTGAAAGTAGCTGAAAAAATGTTTAACTTTGCACAAGCTGAAAGATGCTAAACCAGAACAAAACGTGAAAGGAGCAGTAAAAGGTTGAAAACAGATCTAAAGATTTGAAGCATGTAAAATGAGCTCAATTCATTTTCTGTGAGGAAAAAAAAAATGGCAGAAAAGTCAAAATTTTTCAAAAAGCTAAAGTTGCACCAATACCAAAAGTCACAGCAGGATTGTCCTGAAAGAGCTGAACGTTTTGATTTATGATTTGTTGAAATAGCACAAAAATTGTGGAACGAGAAAGACGCTGAAAAACGTACGGAAGAAAAATGCATCACAATAGTGTGAATGCTTCATAAACATTCACACTATTATAGCTGAAGGAATGCCAGATTTCTAAACTAAGATAATCTCATGATGAGAAATACAAAAGTTGCCAGTTTTGTTTAACCCTTGGAAAAAACATCATGCGAGATCTCACAAGAAACCCCGTTCAGATTATAAGTTGGGCATGTGGTCCATGAGATACTTCGCTAACAAACGGTAGTACCGGTAACAGTAACCCCAGTTCTGTACAAAAAGCTCTGTTTAAAACCAGACAAACGACTGATCCCGTCTTGATATCTCTTTCTCTCCTGAGCGTCCTCTGCCAGGAAGGCCCGGTTCTGTTAGGAGGAAGCCGTCCACGGAGCCAGTAACAGATGATCTCATGCACTCCGGTGCGCCTCCGTGCTCAGGTCCCAGGCTGTGGGTGTTGTGTTGTGCTCTCTGAAGCGAGGCTGACAGGCTCGGGCTGCGGCTGATTTGATCAGATGTCAGCAGCCAGCTCTTTCACCTGATCTACCAGCTGGGTGTAAACGTGAGCAGATGGGCCGACCGAGTGAGCCGCTAAGCCCCCTCCGATCCTCATATTACAATGCCGCCACCCCACCCCCCACCCCCCCAACCCCACTCCTGGGTCCAGTTAATGTCTAAAAACCAGACTCCTTAGTTCTTCTCCACAAAGGCTGGTTAAACGATACAACATACAAGTCTATCGTCTCGCCACGAGCTGGACAGTTTACACTTAATCCCCCCAGTTGAGATGGAGGCGATGTCTTCTCTAGGTGGCGCTCTTCCCTTTTCCTTTTTCCCCGCGCCCGTTAATTATCGACTGATTAGTCGAGGACGCGTCGACACTAAATGTACGTTTGGTAATTAATAACTAACCGAGGAGGAGTCCGATTAACATAAAGAATTACGTCCTGGTAGGTAAACATGTGCGGCGCTGCTCCGTCTTGTGTGTTTACAAGCGTTAATGCTCCTCCTTCTCTTAAGCAATTAGCTGAAATATGACTAATTAGAGGTTATACATATGCAAACATCCCGTCCGACGCAGTCCCCGCCCACACGCCGTGGAGGAGCGCCGGCTGCTGCCATTCACAATTAGGAGCGCGCGGCAATTGTGTCTTATTAGCTGTAGACGAAACTTTCCCGGGCAGGGGTCCTCGGAGGAGGGAGAAGTAAAAGGGAAGGTGGTGGGGGTCGGAGGCGGCAAAGCAGCTGTTGCTGTTTGTTTATGCAACTCAGCAACACATAAGCGGTGGGGTCCCTCTCCGGTGCTTTGTGCCCCCCCACCCTCCGCTCCCAGCTTGATCTTTGAAGGTTGGGGCTGTTTGAACAATTCCTCCAAGTCCTCCCAGTGTCCTACTCGCCGCCATCTGTCTCCCCAGGAATGCGGGGAGAGTCAGCACACACCCCGGCATTTGTCAAGAATGAGGTGGGAGGAGGGCGGCACTGTGCACCCAAAAGACACCCCCCAAAATATGACAAGAAAGTGTCCCTTTTACTCACCGTTCACGTCTTAGAGTTATTTGTTGGTCATTGACGAGACAAGTTCTTCTATCGCATTTTGAATATTTTTTTCTGTATTTGAAAGCAAATTGAATGATTGATTTTTTTTTTAAAAACTTCTGAGCAGCAGATCAAGCTCAGTCGAGCACCTTAAGATTATTAGAGACGTCTGAGATCCAAGACTACCCTTCGTCAATGGAATGCACATCAGGTCTCTCTTGTAAATGAGTCCCCGAGGCTCAATGGGATTAACCCGTATAAATAAAGGTTGAGTGATTCTCCTCCACCACCTTTTAAAGTTATGATCTGTTAGTACGCAGGCTGTGTGTTATGAATCGCTCTCAGCTACTCCCACACCAAATTATAGCTCTGTATCTGTAAAACTGACTGAACTTCAGTAGTCCCTCGATTATACAAGGATTCTTATTGTCATTCGCACCACGTGTGGTGCATGAGGTGGAACGAAACTATGTACACAGGGTCCCAGTTACATCCAACAAAAATACAAATTGTAAAGAAAAGCAGTAATAAGATCCGAGACATGAACTAAGAATATACTACATTCACTGAACTAAGAATACAAAAAACTAAGACTACACTAAGCACTAATAGTACAAAAACAACGTGCCAAACAACAGCAGCACGAACATGAGTCCGTGTGAGCAGATGAGGACTAATGAACACAGCAACATGAAATAATCAGCAGCATGAGATCAGCATCATGGATAGTCAGCAGCACATATCAACCAAGTGGCATTTCAGTGATTTTTTTCACAGTGATTTTCCTGGTTAGAGATTCATGAGTCTAACAGCCTCAGGGTAGAAGCTGTTCCTCAGACTGGTGGTTCTGCATTTAATGCTCCTCAGCCTTCTGCCTGAGGGGAATGAGGCAAAAAAGTGTGTGTGCTGGGTGTGTGGTGTCCTTCATGATGCAGGTGGCTCTCTTCCTGCATCTGGAGGTGTAGATGTCTGTGATGGTGGGGAGGCTGACTCCAATTAAAATTATTATCCATGCTGCTGATTATCTTATGCTGCTGTATACATTCATACCTGTCTGCTCACCAAAGACTTATGTTCGGGCTGCTGTTGTTACGCCGTATTGTTTTGCATTATTCGAGTTTAGCACCTATACCTTAGATCTTTTAGCGCACCTTTTGGCATTTGTTTAGTGTATATCTTAGATCCTTATTTACTGTTTCTTTTTATACTTTATATTTTGCTATTTTTGGGTGTAGCTGAGACCCTGAGGACATAATTTTGTTCCACCTCATGTACCACATGTGATGCAAATGACAATAAATTTGACTTGAACTTGGACTATTGCAGGCGTTATGTTCCACACCCGCCCACTATAGGTGTAAAACCGCAAAGTAAGAACATTATATTTATTTCAGTATTTGTATATATTTTAAGGCTTTATAAGCCCTTCCCACAGTCTTGTAATGTTCTTAACTCTTAAACCTACGTACTTTTAGCAACATACGTATGTTTACTGCACAGTACTGCAAATTTTTACAGCAGCTCTGTTCCGGTTCGGCAGACTGACCCTGCAGCGATGAAGCCCACCGCCCCATTCAGGTTGATGTGCTTGTGGATAATTGAGCTTCAGGAAGCTTCAGGATTATTTGGGACTTTCCTGCCATTTCTGTGATCTTCATACATAACGTTGATTTGCGTTGAAAAACTTTCCCTCCATTCGGCAGAAAGCAGCAGCCGGAAGCACTGTTAGCTTCTGGGCAACGTAGTTCTTTTCACTGGCAATATAATATAGGCTTATTGAAAGAAAACTACAAGAAAGCAACGGCTGGAAGCACTGTTGGCTTCTGGGTAACATAGTTCTTTTCACTGGCAATATAGTGTAGGCTTATTGAAAGAAAACTACAAAAAATGCAGCGGTCAGAAGCACTGTTGACTTCTGGGTAGTGTAGTTCTTTTTTGACTGGCGATACAATATAAGCTTATTGAAAGAAAACTACAAGAATGCAACAGAGGGAAGCACTGTTGGCTTCTGGGTTACATAGTTTTTTTCACTGGCAGTATAGTGAAGGCTTATTGAAAGAAAACTACAAAAAAGCAGCGGTCGGAAGCACTGTTGCCTTCTGGGTAGTGTAGTTCTTTTTTGTCTGACGATACAATATAGGCTTATTGAAAGAAAACTACAAAATGGCGGCGCCTGTCCAAAGTATATATATTTATCGTTAACTTTTTATCTGTACCGGCCCAATCACGTGAGTAATATTAAAGCTGACCACGTTGAAAGAGCGACTCCACGAAAGTCAAATCGCGAAGTAGCGAGGGATTACTGTATTTGTAAAACTGACTGATCTATTGTTGTTTTTGTGTTTAAGCTTGCTTAGCTGTGGCAGCCATCTTGAGTTAAATTGACTCTGAAAGTTAATTTTCATTCAACCTTTATTCAGACAGGTAAATCCCATTGAGCCTCGAGGACTCATTTACAAGAGAGACCTGATTAATTAGTTGCTTATGTACAGTAAAGGATGGATTCTTGACAGTTTTTATTTAAATCCATCTCCAACTCATGAGATATTTTGCTAACAGACATAGAAACCAAACCTTTTGTGTAACCTTCATGAAAACAGCTCCAATAAGTCTTATTCAGTTAGTGTGAACACAGGTATTTGGGTTAAAACTGCTTTGAATACGTTTTGGACTGATTAGGCCAAAATTAATGAAAAGCAGATCAGATTGGCTCTCCCAATCAAGGCTTTAAAAAGGCCTCCTTTCTATTATTCCTTCATTCTAAAGGCAGGCCTCGTTGGGCTGAGAAACCAGGAAATTAAAAGTTGTGCGATTCTCTTCTTTATCATCGCTGCTGCTTGTAGTCAAAGAAAGCCAGTGTACGTCGTTTGGCTTGTTTAGTGTTGCCATACCACCCAGTTTTTATTATTTACTATACTCTCACCCCCTCCATGTTTAAGCTTTATTGACTTAAAAAAATAATAATTCTAATTTATTTTCTGTTTTATGCTCACAGCACCAACTTCTAAACCAAGCAGCCGGCAACCGCAAGTTCAAATGCACCGAGTGCGGCAAGGCCTTCAAGTACAAGCACCACCTGAAGGAGCACCTCCGGATTCATAGCGGTGAGTTGCTTTTTGAGTATCGCGCACCGCGCTACATGCCAAAGTTTTCTTCTTATCTAATCTTATAATTTCTGTTGTAACAAACTACATATTAATATAAAGAAAACCTTATAAGAATCCTCGTGAAATTATGTTATTAGCCGGAAAAAAGTCAAATGTATCCTTTTAAATGCCCCTCTTTGTGTTTCTCCTTTTAATCAAACTGAAGAATAAACTTTTTTTTTGTACATGTATTAGTGTAGATTGTTTTATTCAAGGAAAAATAACCCAATAATAAATTAAAAACAATTTTTTTAGTAAATTCTTGAGTAAAATATTGCAAAACTAAAATGCATTGTACCTCTTTTTATTATTAAAGCAAATTTAATTGTATTTAGTTGTTGCAAACGTCAGCATTTGTAAACTAGCCAGATATCCAGAGCCAATCATCATTTAAGCAAACATTATTTTTTAATCCTTTTAAAGTATTTTTGAGCAGCTACAAACCCTGTAAGTACAGGGTAATAAATTCCTTCATAATACGACCCAGTCGCTGTAGAAACCTGATACTCATTCTGTAAATACATGTGGTATGTATCTGGTAGGGCCCGATACATGCTCAGTGTGTACTCTGTAAGAACCAGGTACATACCCGGCATATACCAAGTAACTACTAGATACAAACCCTGAAAGTACTAAAGATGTACCCTGTAATTTATCATTTCGCCATAAAGCTAGGTTCCCTTGATACCTGCAGGGACTGCGCTGTATTATCAAGTAAATTATTACAAGTAAGTTACTACAGACCAGGTATTTACTATGTACCCCCGGTACATACCTGGTATGTACTTTTTACATACTGGGTTGTGTTTCTAATGCATTTTGTTATATTTAAATTACGCTCAGAGGCTGTTTTAAAAAAAAAAGTTATTTATTTAACACAACACTAGTTCCTCTTGAGTTTAGGGCTTTTTTTTACTTGAATCCTTCAGAGATCAGTTAGATGGCTGTTTTAAATCAAAAAGTGGTTGCACCAAGTTAATGTAGGTGGTTCAATCTATTAAAACGTTTCCTTTGAAAATAGTCAGGTACTGGACTGAAAATTAGCAACAACAAAAAAAGAAACCTTCGGAAAAACTGGAGGACTGTATAAAAGCCATTGTGAAAGATTGGAAAAAAAGTCAAATTACTTTAAAGAAAAAAATGTAAAGATCTGAAGGGTGGCTTGGTACTTTGGTACAATACTGTAGACGAGTCTTGTCATTTGTTATGTAGAAGAAAAACAAAACAATCTTGTAAAAAAAAAAAAAAAACCTTCTCAAATTTTTCATTTCAGGCGAAAAACCCTACGAGTGCCCCAACTGCAAGAAGCGCTTCTCTCATTCGGGCTCCTACAGCTCCCACATAAGCAGCAAGAAGTGCATTGGCTTGATCGCCGTCAACGGTCGCATGCGCAGCAGCCTGAAGCCAGGCTCCTCCCCAACCTCTGCCTCTGCCTCACCCACCAACACTGCCATCACCCAGCTGCGCCAGAAGCTCGAGAACGGCAAACCCCTCGGTCTCACTGATCACAACAACCACCTGAACATCAAAACGGAGCCGCTTGACTTTAACGACTACAAACTCATGATGGCTACTCATGGATTTGGCGCTCCTGTTCCGTTTATGAACGGAGGGATGGGTGGAAACAGCCCGCTGGGTGTTAACCACAACTCAACAGCTCAAAGCCCCTTGCAGCACCTGAGCATGGCAGGGCTTGAATCGCAGTTCGCAGCCTACCCAGGTTCGCTTGGGAACAACCTGAGCGAGGTACAGAAGGTTCTCCAGATCGTGGACAACACGGTGTGCAGGCAGAAAATGGACTGCAAGCCGGAGGAGCTCTCCAAGCTCAAGGCCTATATGAAGGAGTTGGGACACCAGATGGAGGAGCAGAAGCAGAGCTTGACGTCTCCAGGAGGTCCTCAGGTCGGTCTTCCACTCGTCAATCACAATGGTGCCACCAAAAGCATCATTGACTACACGTTAGAAAAAGTGAACGAAGCCAAAGCCTGCCTCCAGAGCTTGACAACAGACTCAAAGAGGCAGATTAGCAATATCAAACGAGAGAAACCCAACCACATGCTCGACGGAGGTGTGGACGAGAAAGTGCAAGAAAATATGTTTACACCATATGCTTGTCAGTATTGCAAAGAAACCTTCCCTGGGCCAATACCTTTGCATCAACATGAACGCTACCTGTGCAAAATGAACGAGGAGATCAAAGCCGTGTTGCAGCCCAGCGAGAATCTGATGCCCAACAAGCCAGGGATATTCATGGAGAAGAACTCCCACTCCTCCATTCTGTCTGAGAAGGGACTCACTGCCCCCCTTAACCTTTACAGGGACCACATGTCTGTGTTGATGGCGTATTTTGCCATGAACATGGAGCCTAATTCGGAGGAGCTACTCAAGATTTCCATAGCCGTTGGACTTCCTCAGGAATTTGTCAAGGAGTGGTTTGAGCAGAGAAAGATGCACGAGTATAGCACTACTAGAACCCCACCACTAGAGCACAGGAACAACTCGGATATAGTTATCGGGTCAAATAACCACCATACTCCACCAAAAGACTCTTTGGCAGCTAGGTCGCCTGTAACTCATATCAAACCTACCGACCGCATCACGTCCCCCTCCATCGCAGAGCTCCATAACAACGTCAACAACTGTGACAGCGCACTCAGACATTTGAAAAACCACCAGTTTAGCGGCAGCGCCAAGCCCATAGGTGAAAAGTTGGACCACTCCCGCAGCAACACGCCCTCGCCACTAAACCTGTCCTCCACATCTTCCAAAAACTCCCACAGCAGCTCCTACACTCCAAACAGCTTGACTTCAGAAGACCTGCAGGCCGAGCCACTCGACCTGTCACTGCCGAGACTCATGAAGGAACCCAAGCATGCACTGACCGTCAAAAGCAGACCGAAAATCAACAGCATTGCCATTGACCATAGCAGCATCCCCTCTCCTCGAGAGCACTTCGAAGAGCCTTTGAACTTGGCCTATCTTAAGAAAGAATTCTCAGGCTCAACCAATAACGGAAACCTTGAAAAAAGCACTAGCCCCATCTTTGGCATTAACCCATTTGCTGCCAAACCTTTGTATACGTCACTTCCACCGCAGACCGCTTTCCCGCCTGCCACATTCATGCCCCCTATGCAGGCCAGCATACCAGGTCTTAGGCCCTATCCGGGCATGGATCAAATGGGCTTCCTACCGCACATGGCCTACACATACGCAGCAGGGGCAGCTACCTTTGCAGAGATGCAGCAGAGGAGAAAGTACCAGCGGAAACCAGGTTTCCAGGTAAATGAGCCACCTGTGATTTTGCTCCAAAAGCCCCAGGCTCGCTGAGATTCTCTAAAACGTACTGAACTCGTTTCTGTGCTAATTAAAAGAGTCAGGAGAGAGAAACGCTCACCTGAGGTAGAATGAACTGGCAAAGGCGTTGGAGATAAACAGCTGGGGCACCACCCTGAGGTGGGGAAAAAAAAAAGTGAGATGTCATTAGCGGTATGAGGAAGGAAAGAAGTTTATGATAATGAGGCTAACAGCTAACTTATTGAGGGGTCTTTTTCAGTGAGATTCATTTGCACATATTTTAATTTTAGCCTCAAAAGCGGCGTCAGGTTCGGGTAAATAAAATATAAAATGGACTTTCTAATTGTTCCTACTCCCCTCACTGATGTGCATGGAATACATTACCTAACTCAGCTACCATGCTCCTCCAGAGCAGGCCTGAGCGCAGATATTTTGTGATTAAATATGGGTGAAAGGCCTTTGTAAAAATGACAAAGTTGAGCCCCGGAGGTGTGCACTTCTCTGAAATTTTCTCTTGCAAGTTTGCTGCATTTTAAAAGGAGAGCCACAGCCGAAATGAGCTTCTTCGCTACATGTGGATTAATAATGCACAGTCTCCATGTTCATTACCAGTGAATGCTGAAGGCTGTTTAACATAGAGGGAACCATTTTGATGAAAAAAAAAAAAAGTATTAATAATGTTTCCTATTCTAAGTTATTAAATTAGATTTTAAAAATACAGCTAAAGGCGTTTAGTTCAAATTGATTGCAGAGTGATAGTGGTCCGTTCTTAAAACACAGCGCGGCGTTGTCCTCGCATTATCACACACATATTCATTAAAACAGCCTTTTGGTGACTCAATATTGGCCATTAAGGTGCACCTTCTGATTATAATCATTTGCAATTTCAAGAATGGGTCACCCCGCCTCCGTCGATGTTTTAATATTGTTCTCTATCAGTTTATATTCGAGAATAATCTTTGTCATGAAAGAGGAGGTTTTAAAGGAATGTGCCAAATTAACGCAAGTTCAAAATTAGCCCGCACTGGCTGTGTTTCATAATGAGAAAGCTGTCAGTTACAAATGGGAGATATTATTTCAGAGATGAAAGTTTTATAAGAAATAAACGCTGGTGGGTGCTGGCAATCAAAAATGTATGAGCGCTTGTAGCTTTGTGTTGAGTTTACAGCTTTATAACCGTGTCATGGAATATATTTTATTACTTTCAGCAAATATGCAGTATTACTCTTGAACTATTCTAACTATTGTATTAACACCAAAAAATATTTTTTGAAATTTTAAAATATTTTGAGCTTCGTTTTTTTGGGTCGCTTAAGTATTTCTTCAGATTAGCAGAAGGTAAATGTTGGAAAATGTGCAACAATGTCATCTTGTCCAAATGAACAGAACTCCTAAAATTGCTGGAAAAGTGTCAAAAACTTGTACTTTCCTGTATTATTTTCATGAGCATGCTGTGTGGTTTTAGTTTTACTTAGAAATTGTTTTAAAGGCTTTCAGACGCAAAGTTTATTTATTTATTTTTATTTTAGCTGTTAGCTAATTACCACTGTTGTTTTTTTTTTTTTGTTCAATCTAACAAAACTTTATTTTCTTACATTTAATATTCATCATACACAGCAAGATAGTATATATAATTCTGAAATATAGCTTAGTTTAGTAAGACATTCAAGAGTTTTCTGTCTCTTTGGTGTTAATTAAAATTAAATTAGGTACGCTTTCAGCATAAATGTCCTATCTTTCAAAATAGATTGAAAACTACAAAAGTCCTGTATTTTTATTTTATTTTATATTTAGCAGTATAGCAATTTAATTTTGAAAACAATCTTTATAAGACCTATGACTGTTTTCGTTGTTTTTTAGGCCTTGATGCTACTTGGAGTTAGCAGTATGTTTGCTTTTAACATTAGCATAATAGTAAAATGTCCTATTGTTAAAAGTTGGTTTAAAATGTAAAAATTCATGTAAAAACACCACTTTCTTTACATTTAGCAACAGCCCATTGCAATATACATATTTTTATTTGTAAAACACTTAGACTGTTTTGAGTATTTTGTTGTACTTTAAAATTAGCTGTTGATGTGCTAATATTTAGCATATTAGCATTAATTATTACGTTGTTAAAGGGTGAAAAACTACAAACCTCACTATTCTCCTAGTTAAACATCATATAGCTAAATATTTACTTATAAAATAAGGTTGTATTGTTTCGAATTTTCCCATCAAATTAGCAGTTAGCATCTTAGCATAATTGTCTTCCTGTTCAACGTGACACAGCTGCAGCTCGTTTTTTACAATTAGCAATCTTTCATACACATCAATAAAATACATGCACTTCTGAAATATGTTTTTGTGTGCTTTGCACATTTTAGCATTTTTTTGGTGCTATTTCAAGTTAGCAGTAGCTTGTAGCAGTTAGCATATTAGCATAAATGTAAAAAGAAAAATATGAAAAACTATAAAACTATTTTTTCTCTGCTTTTTTGCATTAGGCAGCATTTTGTATTATATTTTATTCTAAAAAATGTGCGAGTTTTACTTTTTGGAGTGTTTGTTAAATCTTTATTCTTAAATTAGCACATTAGCAAAGAAGTTAGCGCTTTAGCCAAATGCCCCTTTTTCCACTTAAAGCTACAGCTTTAAGGATAAAACCTTACTAGCTTAACTTATCCTCACATCTATAGAGGCTTTGTATTTCCTTTCTTCGTTTTCTATTTATTCTCAGTACTTAGTAGATCTTTTTATGTAGATGACTAAAAAATACATTTGCATAAAGCCTTCTTAGTGGCTCGTTTAGTTCGTCAAATCAGAAGTAGCTGTCTTGATGTTTTTGATCAAATGGTTATTAATTTCGTCAGTTTTCAGAAGTGAAAAGTAGCTAAAACAGGACATACAGTTCAAGTTCAAGGTTTTAAATTATCCCTCAAGTGGCAATTTGTTTCACAGTCAAGTAGGCACACAAAAACATCCATACTACACAAGACATTGAGACGTTAAAAAACAGTACAGAAGTCATCAATGTTCATTGAGAAGCCTGATCTCTACAGGGATGAATAAGTTTTTCAGTCTGTTAGTTCTACATCTGGGCTGCGGATCACCTGCGTCCAGATGGAAGCAACCTGAACTCACCACGGAGTGGTGATCAGGATCTGCCAGAATCAGCCTAGCCTTGTTCACTGACCTTGCCTTGTGTAGGTCAGAGAGGTTCTGTAGGGCTACATCCTGACAATCCGAGAGTTTGTTCCTGTTTTTGCATGTTAACAATCCAAACCAACAAATGAAGGTGAAAGCTACACAAAGAGTATAAAAAAAACCTTGTAGTATAAATCACTATAATAAAGTCGCCAGGCCTTTAGATGTGCCTCATCCCTTACTATGTTTTGTCTTTTTTTTTCCCCGTTTTCTTTGTGTTCTTTAAGGGGGACCTGCTTGACGGCACACCAGATTACTTGTCAGGGCTGGACGACATGACAGACCCCGACTCCTGTCTGTCACGGAAGAAGATTAAGAAGACTGAAAGTGGTATGTACGCGTGTGACTTGTGCGACAAAACATTCCAGAAGAGCAGTTCCCTTCTAAGACACAAATATGAACACACAGGTATATACTGTTCTAGACCCTTATTTTAAACCCCATTCTTTTTTTTTATGTTTTAAATGTTTGTGTTGCCAAATCCTACCAGTATCTACCTATTTAAATATTTTTGTTACCCCCCTCTTTTTTTCTTCCCTTTTCCTTCTCTTGTTTAATTCTCAATTTGTATATGTAAACCGACACCTAACGTGCTTCTTCATTGACAGGATGACAGTCACCGAAAGGACTGAACGTTTTTACTTCCATGTGCGATGTTGTTAAAGCTTTGTGTGTTCTTTGAAACAGAAATAATTAGTGCAGGTAGGCAAGAAGAGGGAGCTGTACTCTTTAGTTTCCAATGGCTGTAATAGAAACTCCGCTATCTTAAAAGACACACATCAGTTCACCTAGATGTATAAAGCCAGAGTCAAAAACAAGCCTCTAATGTCTTTATCGGTCCCATTATTGGCGATAGATCATATCAGCAGCGTAACGGTCAGAAGCTTCAGAGTACCGATAAGAAGTCTTTCATTATAGTTATTTACACAGATCCTCTTTCACTAGGTTGCATCATTTTTTTTATTTTTTATCCTCTATCAGTTGCTTGGAGCTTTATGCAGCCTTCATGTTATCTGGTCAGACATAAAAGGGAGGGAGACAGCACCAGTGCAACAGTCGGCTGAACTCGAAATGGGTGCGTTATCCCCCGCGCACCCCTCTTTCCCGTTGCGTCCATGTCCAAAGCGCCGCTCTTTAACGTTTATGCGGCTCAGAGTGCAGTTGGAAGGGGTCAGAGGTTGTGTGGAAAGGTTTCCACACAGGGTGAACAGCAGCAGCAAATGGAACGGGGATTGTCAAGTAGCATCTTCGAAACGATGCAGGTAGCTTTAAGTCTCGGCGAGTTCGGAGCTAAATTATAAGACGTAGATTGTCTTGTTTTTTTGCCAGACATTTTATGGCCCTCTGTCATAAAAGTGTCTCACCCTCAGCTTGGGTTTCTTTTTTCTGCTATGGCATCCATGCCCCATTTAGTAGCCGATGCATCCCAAAACCTTAAAGAGGGCGAGCCGTCACCCTGAACTTGAATTATGTTTGGAGATAATCAGGGTAGCCGTCTTATCGTCTCTTCCCCGACTCGTTCGCCCTTTTGTTCTGTTTGTTTGCTTTGCAGTAGTTGATTTATGTTGGACTCATCAGTGTGGCAGGGCTAGGCTAAAATAAGTAGTCGTGGCAAAGTTTGCTTTAACCGCAGGAGGGAATTTCCATAATGGAGGCCCACGAATGCGAGTGCACTTTCTCGTAGCGCTCGCAATTTCAGCGAACAAACAGATTCAGAGCTCTGTGATGTCATTTTCCTCCATGCCATCCAGTTCATTAGAGTTTTTCCCTCGACATGTTTGCTTTGCTCTGACTTGTGTGATTTGTTGTTGCTGCAGGACGACAGGCCACTCACGATCCCCCCCCCCCGCCTGCTCTCTGTTTTGTGTGTCTGCAGGCAAGAGGCCTCACCAGTGCCAAATCTGCAAGAAAGCCTTCAAACACAAACACCATCTCATTGAGCACTCCCGGCTGCACTCGGGCGAGAAGCCATACCAGTGTGACAAGTGCGGGAAGAGGTTTTCGCACTCGGGCTCCTACTCGCAGCACATGAACCACCGCTACTCCTACTGCAAGAGGGAGGCCGAGGAGCGGGAGGCGGCCGAGAGGGAGGCCCGCGAGAAGGGCCACCTGGAGCCCACCGAGCTGCTCATGAGCAGGGCGTACTTGCAGGGCATGACTCCTCAGGGCTACCCCGAGCTGGCAGAGCGCGAGGCCATCCTGCGGCACGACGCCATGAACGGAGGGATCAGAGAGGGACGCAAGGAGGTGGACGGAACGTACGCAAAGATCGGACGGAGGGACGAGTTTGAGGAGGAGGAGGAGGAAGAGAGCAAGAGCATGGACACGGACCCGGACACGTTGAGGGACGAGGAGGAGAACGGAGAGCACTCGATGGACGATAGCTCGCTGGACGGCAAAATGGAAACCAAATCGGATCACGAGGACACGATGGAGGACGTTATGTAATCTGCGGACAAGTGGGGGGGGAAAAGGGGGCGGGGACACTTAAAAAAAAAAAAAAAAGCTTCCCATAACTTTTTTTAAGTTTCTCTCTTTCGGTTCCGTATTCTCACCTGTTCGGTTTAAAACGCCGTGTTTTAAGCTGCACGTGCCTGAAGCTTCCGGGAAGCTTTCTTTGACAGACTCCTCGCGGGAGAGGGTGGAAAAAAAAAAGGGGGGGGGGGGGTTTGCCAAACAAGACTCAAGAATCAATCTGGAGGAGGCGTCGACGGATGGGAGGCATGGGTTTGTGAAATAAGCTGCATTATGCAAACCGAATAAATGAATACATTTCAAAAAATGTACAGTACTAAGGCCTAAAATCACGTGTGGTGCTAACCTCCCGACCCCCCC